AATTAATGTAATGTATTCCAGAACTGGCTGGCTGAAGGGGAAGACAGCTACTGTCAGGAGTTTCGCCGCGACACCTGGTTGCTGACGTGCCGAGTCTTTGTTATTACTCGTCGCAGGGAGCGCAAGAAAGTTATTGATTTATTATTTTTTTAATTGTTGGTTATTTAGTGAGACTGGCTGTGGGCTGCTGTCACTTAGACAAGGCCAGAGGGGAGCTCCTGGAAGTTGACCCGGAGCCGGGGACAGGACTGGGGGTTGCTCAGCAAAGGTGACTCGTCTCTACCTACTCCAGCGCCGGTTGCGCGCTTCGAGGTGCAGGGAGTGTCCGGGAGGACCCTCGCCTCGACTCCTGGAGTGTTAAAAGTCCGGTTTCTGGAGACCTGTGGGCAGCGCTGAGATCTTTACGTGAATTTCCCAGGCGGAGATGAGAGCCACCGGCCAAAGAGGAGGCGGGGCGCGACGCCAGGGCGGTACCCGGGCGCCTGCGCGATTTGGCGCTCTCGCCGGCTCCCTGCCGCTGGACCTCCGATCCAGCTTCCTTCTCAGCATCCACCGCAGGGTCGCGTACCACCACCACCACCCCCGAGAGTGTTGCCCTCGGGCGGAGGGTGCTACACACTTTGGGAAACAAAAGCTGCGTGTGCTCGGCCCATGGCACTGCGGTACGCGACGGCGTCCCAAAGCCAGATACACGCACCCAGTCACACACCGCTCTCGGGCTCCGCTTTCTTTAAGGCTTCTTGGCTACAATTCGATTTGGAAGGGTAAAATTAGCACATGGGACTGGGTAAAAACAGTAATAGTATCTAACGTATTCATCATACACTATACTTCCCAAGGCGCTTTCTCAGGCTGGACGCACAGTGGGCTCTCCATAAAGGTTTGCTGGATGAAATAATTCCACACTCCCTCTCATAATCTCATCATCATAATCACACCATAGAGCCACAGAGTTATCGCCATCCCAAAGGAGAGGAAACAGGCTCGGCCACGAGTCAGTAGGTGACGAAGCCGGACCTCATCTTCTTAATTCAAGACCAAGCAGAGTTTTTCTTTTATAAGAAATAAATCTCCCTCCCCTCACTCCAGGCTCAACCTTCTCGCTTCTGCCTTCTACCTGCAGGGGGTCAGAGAAATTCCAGAAAGGCGAATCAAGCCTCTGTGCACAAATCCAAGCAGGGCCATAGGGAACACCTGTGCCCTGGACGCCTGCTGAGTCCCGCGCTGTGGCTGGACCAGGCCGAACTGGCTGGGTCGGGCGGCGAGGCTGGAGGTGACCGAGTCCCCGGACGCTGTGAGTGGAGGAAGGGCAATGAGGCTGCCGCGCAAGTCCCGGGCTCCAACAGGTCGGGCGATCCCCGAGCAGATCGCCCAGGCCTCCCTCCGGTGCCCGGCAACGGTCTGGTTCACCTTTGAAACCTCGACTCCTGGGAGCGCGGGGCTTTAGATGGCGCAGTTCTGACTGCCGCGTATTTCTTGCAAAGAACAGGAAGCCCAACGTGAGGAAAGGTCGCCTGCTGGACCATCCAGCTGGTGGTGTCAGGGCTGGGGTGGAAGACACATGTCCTGCTCCCACGCCCGTCCAGTCCACCGTAGGGGCTGTGGTTGGGAAAAAGGATGCGCTGAGAAGTTGGCACAGGGTCTGGAGAAGGGCTGGGCGGGCTGTCGGGGAGGGGAGGGCTCCTCGGAAGACCCCAAACGTAACTGACTGAGACAACCTTCCGCTCCTCAGAGGCCGGCAGCAAAAGGGAGAATCCACGGAAATGGAGATGTACGCGTGAACCTGTGCCTTCTTCCTGGTACTGCCTATAGCCCCAGCCCTGGTGGTAACCTGCGCTCCTTCTCCCGCTGGGCACAGCTGTCCGCAAAAGACTTGGGCAGGCCGGGGCTGGATCCGAGCTGAGAAGTGCCTGAGACCCTCAGGGACTGGGGACTCCTGAAGCTCCACAATTTTCTGCCAAATTTTACTCTCCTCCATAGAGCCAATTAAACATAACAAGACCTTGCATGGAACCCCTCTTCCTAGCAAAGCTTTGCCAACAATTGGCCTGAGGGGTAAATCAAATACTCCTGACATAATCACAGTAAGCCCGGAGCAATGATTTGCCCGCCAGCGTCCTCAGCGCCAGCAGATATTTGAATAGTGTAGTAGTTTAAAAAAAAAATACACACGGAAACTTGAAACCAACTGGTTGGTGCCAGGGTGGTTACACGATCTGTTTTTCTTAAACGGGTGTCTGCAGGCAGCTGGAGCGTGCGCGTTCCGGCCCCCGCCGATGCTGCTGCACGCCTGCAAAACTTGCCCGAATTCAATCAACCTCCGAGAAAGTGGAGCGGGGAGTGAGAGCGCGCCCCCCAAGGCGGCCGGAGCTCCGTGGCAGCGCCCAGGATTCCCCGCTGCCGCAGCAGGCTATCCCTCCCCAAACCGATGCGCGCCAGGCGCTCCGGGTCTGCGCCCCTGACCTCAACCGCGGCTCGGGCTGTTGCGGCTGGCTGGGGCCCGGTTGGTGGGGATTGGTTTTTGCCATTGCCGTGTATACCCCAAACTCGGAAGCAGAGCGCTTCGGTCGGCCTTCGAGGCTCTGTTTCTGGTGCACGTTGCGCGTAGCCCGGCCAGGAGAACGCAATTGGTTGGAGGAGGCCGAAAGAATCGCCTACTCTGCTAGCGTGCCTAAGCGTAGAGCCTAAGGTGGTGACAGCGGGTCTGTAGGCTGTAATGACCTTACTCTGTGACCTAGGCTCAAGGCTTTAGGTTTCAGCGTTCGTGTTGTGCTTACAAAGCTGGTCCTGCTCGCACATGAAGGTCTTCCCCGCCTTGCTCGGTCCTCAAAAGGCGCAGGGCCCACTTGTCCAAGGAGAATCGTCCCCGAGCTACCGCTAAAAGGGAAGCGCTTCTGTTCAGGGAACCCGCGGAAGAAACGTTCCCCTTGCCCGAGTTGCGCGTGAAATCGGGGCCCGGGGAATCTACACACTCTGCGCGCGGAACTCCCCGTGTGGAGCTCTCCGCCGGGACCTCACAGTGACCTGGGAGACCCCAGCCTCCTGGGTGAGGCAGAGCTCCTACCTCTTCCTTCAATGGAGAAGGGGCGACCCGACTTCAGCGAGTGCTGGCTGTCACTCCAGAAGTGGGCATCCTTGGACATCATCCATGGCTTCACAAGGCCATTGCTCAGCTGTTTAAACAGCCTCAGCGGACCAAAAATCTCGAAGAAACTCCTTTGGCCGGAGGAAGGTTCCCAGCATAAAGTGACAGCAAAAGCATCCTCCTGCAAAGGGGTCTCCTTTCCTTAGGACCAGCTAGAAAGCTCCTCTCCCGGCTGTCCCTCTCCCCCATACCTGCTTCCCCTTAACACCTATGCTGTTAGCCCAGGACAAGCTGAGCAAACAGCACCAGGCAGAATTCAAGCTTCCACTTCAAGATGGAAATCTTGAGTTTTTCTGCTCACTCGCTGGGCACCCCACGGGCAGGCATCCTCTGACTGTGCACCTAGTTCACCTAAAGCTCACAGCCCGGGTCGCCAAGGTTGTAGGGTTATGGGTGGCCTCTCACGCAGCTGGGCCCATGGCCTTCTGCCTTCCAGTCTCAGGCATGGAAAAGACGAAGTCAAAAACGAGTTAGCCACAGTCTCGAACTGCTCTTTTCTTCTCAGATAACGGAATTGGAAAGGCCCCGTGAAAATTCCGCCTTCAGACACCTCATTTTACAAATAATGAAAATGAGGCTGGGAGAGGGAGAGACTGATTTTTTTTTTTTGATATTTGTTTTTAAATTGTGCTTTCCTTCCCAGCCTGGGGTTAAGGTGGCCAAAACCAGAATGTATCTTCAGGTTGTCCCTGAGATCCAAACGCTATCGGGAGCCTGGATGCATGCAGAGCAGGAACCTACAGGCAGGGGGACCTCAGCACTGGGGCTCACCAACCTTTCCCTAGGCACTGTGGATGGATAACTTGAGCTTTCTGTTTAATTATTTCTCTCTCCCTCCACGTGCTAGGAATAATAATTACAAAGACTTCGTTTGGCCACGCCCAAGAGATGGGACCCCGATTTCTTCCATCCCCAGCTTAGACATCGCCACCCCAGAGAAGCCTCACTGAGCCTATTTGAGACCTGTGCCAGTGGAAGTGTGGTGGGAACTCCAGCCAAGTCCTTATTACCTATCCTAACAGATAAGAAAGAGCCGCGGTGACTATCAGTCTCATCCTCTAGACCTCGGGCCGGATCGGGGAGCGCTGTCTTGTGCCTCCCTGTACCTGGCATGCAGGTGGCCACAATAAAACGGTGATGAACCTGGGTTCTGAGGAGCACGCCCCACGCGCTCCTCCCCATTCGCTCTTTCCTCCGACCCTCTGACCCTCCAGGCATCGGGTTTCTGGCAGAGAAGATGCCTGGAGTTCGTGGCGGTCTGAACTTGACCCAGAGAAACTAATCCAGAGAGAGGCTCAGAGCTGGTAGGTGGAAAGAGGTAAGGGCGAAAGGCGGGGGGAGGAGAAGTCGCAGAAAGCAGTGTCCTGTACCACTCTACCGCGCAACGCGGCCCGGGTGGGGCGCAGCAGCCGGGAACGCACCAGTGCCGCGTACCCCAACTCCTGCCCCCAGCCTGCACTTCCCGCCCCCCTACCGGGAGACTCGAGGTGGGGGGCTGCTGCGGAATGGGTGGTGATGCGAGGGGTGGGGGGCGCCCCAATGGAGATGGAGACGGAGGAGGGGGCGGGGGCGCGGCGCCTTCTTGCCCCTCTTCAGCGAGACTCGGAGGCGGCAGCGACGGAGTCTCTCTGCCTCGGTCATGTGATAGTCTCGAAGCTCGAGCTGCGGGGGTCTTGGCGTCTCGGGGACCATTACAAAACGCAGCCAGGAGAGCGCGTGGCTGCCACAGCTTCCGCCTCTCCTGCTCAAGCCTTGCCCGGGAGAGCGGCGGCAGCTGCACCGCCAACCGCTGAGCGCGCCCCGGCTACCCCCCCCCCCAACCCCCGGCCCCGCCACCCGCACTCGCCCGGCTTTCGCAGACGTGGCTCGGGCGTCCTGCTCCCTCGCCCCTCCGCGGAACCTGCAGGCGCCACTGCTGCAGAAACCACCAAACTTTTTCCCCCGGAGCGGCAGCCCTGGGCTTGGCGTCTTCGATCCTGCCCTCTGCAGCGAGCCTCCGGAGAAAATAGAGACGCAGCCTTCCCGGAGAGGAGCTTCCCACTTCTCTGCCTGCCTCTCCCCTCTAGGAAAGCTAGAGCTGCTGTACACCACCGGATAAGAGCGAGGTCAAAGAGCAGTGCCCAGGGCTCTGCACGTCTCGCCGCCGCGGGCCTCCAGGACAGCGACCACCAACTCGGATTTCCAGGGCCCGGGTCTCGCAGGTTGGCCTGGGCATCCTTGGCCCAAGAGAAAGCTAAAAAAAAAAATAAGTCGGCAGGAAGAAAACACGGCCCCTTGCGCCTCCACTGCAGTCAGCTCCAGCGCTCAGGCTGTGCCGCCAGAGGAAGAGGCAGAGAACGCGGCGGGAGAGCGAGATCTCCAGGCCCGCCGGTGCGCGCGCCCGTCGGAGACTGTCGAGACCAGAAGTTGCGAGCGCGCACCAACCAAACTGACCCGAAAGACCAAGCGCAGAGACCCCAGGCAACCCGAAGAAGGCCGCGGAGAGAAGCCCGAGAGGGCCTGGGAGACAAGAGGGCCGAGTGGCGGGGCTGGACGGGCGGAGTGGGCGTGAGTGAGGCCAGCCAGGCCCCGGGAGCCGGGTACGGAGCGACGCTGCGGCCCACTGTGGGCCTGGGCCGGGGGGCCAGGGAGGAGGAGCCGGCGGCGATGCCGCGGCCGGGGAAGAGCTCCTACAGCGACCAAAAGCCGCCCTACTCGTACATCTCGCTGACCGCCATGGCCATCCAGCACTCGGCCGAGAAGATGCTGCCCCTGAGCGACATCTACAAGTTCATCATGGAGCGCTTCCCCTACTACCGCGAGCACACACAGCGCTGGCAAAACAGCCTGCGCCACAACCTCTCCTTCAACGACTGCTTCATCAAGATCCCTCGCAGGCCGGACCAGCCCGGTAAGGGGAGCTTCTGGGCGCTGCACCCCGACTGCGGCGACATGTTCGAGAACGGCAGCTTCCTACGTCGCCGCAAGCGCTTCAAGGTGCTGCGCGCCGACCACGCTCACCTGCACGCTGGAGGCTCCAAGGGCGCACCGGGCGCTGGGCCCGGAGGGCACCTGCACCCGCACCACCCGCACCATCACCATCACCACCATCACCACCACCACGCCGCCGCGCACCACCACCACCACCACCACGCCGCACCCCCGCCGCCGCCTCCGCCCCCGCCGCCGCCGCACATGGTGCACTACTTCCATCAGCAGCCGCCGCCCGCCCCGCCGCCGCCACCGCCGCCGCCGCACCTCCCGTCGCAGCCCGCGCCGCAGCCGCCCCAGCAGGCGCAGCCTCAGCAGCCGTCTCACCCCGGCAAGATGCAGGAGGCGGCTGCCGTGGCGGCGGCGGCGGCCGCGGCCGCGGCGGCAGCAGTGGGCAGCGTGGGGCGCCTGTCTCAGTTCCCACCCTACGGGCTGGGTTCGGCTGCCGCCGCTGCCGCCGCCGCGGCCGCGTCCACCTCTGGCTTCAAACACCCGTTCGCCATCGAGAACATCATCGGCCGGGACTACAAGGGCGTGCTGCAGGCTGGAGGGCTGCCCTTGGCGTCTGTCATGCACCACCTGGGCTACCCCGTGCCCGGCCAGCTCGGCAACGTTGTGAGCTCGGTGTGGCCGCATGTGGGCGTCATGGACTCGGTGGCCGCGGCAGCCGCTGCGGCTGCCGCCGCCGGAGTCCCTGTCGGGCCGGAGTACGCGGCCTTCGGGGTGCCCGTCAAGGCCCTATGCCACTCAGCGAGCCAGAGCCTGCCTGCTGTGCCAGTGCCCATCAAGCCCACGCCTGCGCTGCCGCCCGTGACCGCGTTGCCGCCGGCGCTCGCCGTCCCCGCAGCCTCCCAGCAGCCGCCCGCGCCTTCCACCGTGTGTTCTGCAGCCGCAGCCTCGCCCGCCGCCTCTCTGCTGGAGCCCGCGACCGCGAGCGCGGCCGAGAGCAAGGGCGGCTCCCTGCACTCGGTGCTGGTGCACTCGTAGGGGGCCTGGTGGGCCAGGGCGAGGGGCGCGTGTAGAGACGCCCGGCGTTGAGCTGCGCCAGAGCAAGGCCGGGCGCAGCCGCCAGGGCTGGCCTTTGCGCAAAAGGACGGCCTCCAAACGGACGGCACACCCCAGAAGGGGATTCTCCAGTGGTCTGAATAAATATAACCCTCTTGGTGTCTGTGTTTATACTATGTTGTACAGTCAGATGAATGAAAGCCAGTTTTCAGGTAAGAGTTCCTATTGTCGTTAATATTCTACTCGCTAAGTTATAGGGAGAGGGGGAGGGAGGGAGCGAAGGCGATTAGGGAAGCCTTACTCGCCGGCAAAGTGGAAGTGGATTCCAAGCCTTCACCTGGAAGCAGCAGCAGGCGGGGCTAAACTCCCGGGGAGAAATCCTACGAGGAGTGGCGCTGGGACGGATCTTAGTGTCTCCGCTGGTCGCGTCCCCAGGCAGCTGCAAAAGCGAAGGGCCATCTAGGGACAGATCGTCTTATTTCGGAAGAAGAAAAGAGGGGCTCTGGATACCGTTGTTTTCCTGGTTAGCTAGATGGGTGAGGACACAGGGTCATGAATAAAGTCGCTCTGGGAGGCAGTGGGAGCCGGCACGAAAGATCTTTGAGAAAAAGTCACATTTTTTGGTGCTCTGACCCAAGGGGTCCCGACCGAGAGAAGGAACCTCTAAAGCGAAGAGTTTGCACGAAAGAGAATGGTCCCGGCTTAAAAGAGCAAAGCCCCAGATTCCAAAAGCCAAGTTTGGGGAACACAGCCGAACAGGGAACAGCGCAGGCGACTTTTTCCACCCGCAGCTTGCTCATGTATCAGTCGGATGAAAGGCCCCGAGGGAGCCCAAGGATGGTGTGAATTCCTACGATCCAGTCCATTTGAAATTTTAAAGAAAGAGGGAAAAATCACTTGTTTCGCGGGAATTTGTTCTGCTAACTCACGAACGGGAGGAAAAGACTCGGCTCCGTGGCTCCGGACGCCTGCTGGGGCGTCGAGCTGTTCCCTACCCGCCTCCTCTAGCGGACCTCAGACCTAGGACCCAGGCGCGCTGCGGTCCACCAGCATTCTGCGTGGCGGTGGGGCGAGTTCTTCCGTTTCAATTCGTAAACGGAAAAGGCGCTTCCCGGGATCCCCACCCTGGGCCCCAGGAATATAGCACTTTACTCGCGACAAACTTGCGGGACAGAGCGGGGAGGAGTCGGCCTCACGCCATGGCCCTCAGTAACCGTCGGCTTTGCGTCCGCGCCGCGTTCGGGTTGTGACTGTTCCTGTCTGCAGGTGTTGTACGCGGTGTTCTTCATTAAAGCTTCTCTGGATCTGCCTGTTCCCGCGTGCAGGTGTGTCGCTTCTCAACAGGTCTGCGTGCCCACGGGTGGTCGGGGGACCGTGCGGATCCTCTCTCTCCCCTTTATTTCTTCAAAACTTCCGAAGGGTGGGTTCCCAGGCTAGCCGCCGGCGGGGACAGGTTTCCATTCCTGCTCCTGTTACCCGTTGGGGCACTTCTCTCCTCCCGCACTTTTTCTGTCTGAGCTCAGTGCGAGAGGCTGAATTAGCAAAAACCCGCAACTTCTCCCCGTCACCGCCCGTCACCCTTTTCCCTTTTCCGGGGGTACTCAAGGGCAGGCCATGGCTAGGCGAGGGTCTGACGGCGCCCCCCTTAAGTTCTCAGGACAGGGAGAGAGCCCGGACGCCAGCACTGGCCCTGGGCTGTGGACTTTAGCGAGGTAGGCGGAACCGGGCACCAAGTCCCAGGAAGACCTGTTGCGCGCAGGCCCCGGGACGCCGCAGTGCGCTGGGTGCCAGAGAGTTCGCTGTTGGAGGCGGCTGCAGAGCGGCATGGAGAGCCTGCTAGGGAGCCACCTCCCGGCGCGGGGCCCGCCGCTGGGGCCCAGGGAGCCGCGACCGCGCCCCCCGCCCAGTGCCCTACAGCACAGCCCCATCCAGAGCCAGGCCAGGGCCGGCGAGTCTCCTGCAACCTTTCGCGAGAAGAGAGTAAAAGATGACTGACCAACGGCGGGGACGCTGGCTGGGGGATTTAAGACAGGCGTCCCCACACATCCCGTCCTTTCACGCCCCTCTCCGCCGTGCAGCTAAGTTGTGGCCTCGCCTGGGAGACCTGCCTCCAGTCACCGCTGCCTTCTCTGGGGCTCACGCAGTTTGCGAGGGCATCTCGTCCGTCCGGCTGGATGCTCTGCAAGGTTTCCTGCGGGGTTTTCCTCTCCGCAGGTCTGAGGCTGTTGGGAGCTAGAGAAGAGGGCCAGAAAGACTGACTTGGAGAGCGTGGATTCGGGGAAGGGGAGACTTCGGAGACCTGCTTCTCCCTTCCGGGGAGGTTGGTGCCGCGAAGCCCTGGTTTAGGGGTTGAGAGCCACTCGACCCGACCCGAGAAAGGAGTTCCTGGGTGCCGGGAGCTCGGCCCAGTATGCTGATTAGCTGTACCCACGGTCTCACTTCCGGGAGAGGGGCGCGACCACGGGACAGCGCCTACCCGGAAGAGAGAAGCCCGAGGGCCGCCGCCGAAAGGAGAGCGGTGGGTGATCCTCCGTCCCCGGGACTGCCCCGGCAGCCTGAGCCTGCAAGGAGACCGTGCCACCCCAGCGGGGCGAACACAGTTGGTCCGCTTTGTTCCGCGGTCGGGAGAGAGGCAGAGGGAGTTTAGAGACGATTCAACTCGTTTGTCACTCAGGAGGGGGCCGTGGGACCACAAGGAAGCCGCGTTTGGCTTGGAGCCTGGAGAATGCGGGATTTGAGTAAGTAAACAAGGGGGAGGGGCTTTTCTGCCCAAGCTCTCACCTCCAGGGGCGCCCCAAGGAAAGCCCTCCTGAGATAGGCTCTGACTTTGAAACCTAACCCTGCTGTGAGCCGTGTAGCCCCGTAAGCGACACTGCCCGCCTTGCCAAACCCAGACCCTGACAGGAACACTCCTGACGTCCAGCCTGCGAAATCAGACCTGCAGGCTCCCAGGCCTGGGGCTCCCTGCTCCCCACTAGAATCTTTTGCACCCAAGTGCTGGAAACATCCAAAGACCCTGCAACCAACTTCCCCGCTGGTTCAAATGCATCAGTAAGGTTCATACGGTTAACAACGTGTTGTCCTGGCAACAAAGTTTATAGACAACCACTAAAGCAGGTGTAAGGATAGTAAGTTAACGTGATACTTGGGTAATCCTCCCAACTAAGTGTAGGATCTCTCCGAGCTCACAAATACTCTCCACTTATATGTTGGGATGAAGGAAATGTCCGTTCTGGACATAAGTGAGATAGAAGTAGGGGCACTTAGAAGTTTACAATCATCTCAGTTCACAAGTTTAATAGAAACCATTCTTAGTAGGCAAAGTATGGGTGAACAGAGCATGCAGTTATGAGCCTGGGGTCCAGAATGACAGAAAAGGCTGCAGCTGCTTAGCCTGTATCCCACTGAACTGAATGCACAGGACCCTGAGAAAGACAGACAGAAGCAATCCAGAGGGAGAGAAGTATCCTAAATGGTGATGAAGGCAGAAGGGAAGCATATAAAACTACTTTACTGTGATCCCAAGGAAAACAGCCCCTCCTATAAGGGCCAGAATTGGCACAGTTGGCATCTGGCACTTAGGAAGCCTGTCATTCAGGCTGGCTTGTGGTCAATTATCTCCCTAAGTAGACTGGCATTAGTCCAGCCAGGGAGGGGACTGGCTGCATCCGTAGGAATCAGAGCCAGTTAGCTGGAAGTGGCACTGCTGAATTCCAAGTATCTTCGTCTTGGGCGTGGGACTGGGGGTGGGAGACTGATCAACACACCGACTCCTGGGACTCAAAGGTGACATTTGCCTGCTTGGCACTAGTACAGGAAGACTCCAGAGTATGGAAATAGGATGTCTGTAGAAGAACAAACGATCCTCAAAGCTACAGAGTCCCCTGCATTCCACTCACCTGAAAAAAATTGCACTCTGTGCTATGTACAAAATAATGCAGAGGTCCTTGGAACCTGCAGTAGGATCTGTATCTGCTAGTGGATAAGATTCTACACTGTCCCTACCCATGAAATGGGAAGAAAGGTTAGCTTGAGGGTATGTTTGGGCTTGGGTGATGAGGCAAGGGTTTGATATGACTTCAGTGTTAGCTAGATCACGTTTCTACAGTTGTGCTTGGGGTGTGGGGGCAGGGTGAAGCTGGCATTGAAAGTGGGAAACTAAAGAAATATTTGCAAAATCAGGGATAACCCCTTTGTGAGTTTAAAGGTAAAGTGGGGATCCAAGTGTAGGTGCGAAGATTGAATTCCAGAGAGCAAAACCATTTCTTCTCATTCAGCATCCCCACTTTGCTCATTTAGAGTACTCTCATTAATGTTATCTTTCAAAGTTGAAAGGCTACCCTACACCCTTTGGGGGAGATTGAACAGATCTGCTTGAGATTTGAATTCAGTCTTAAACCATTGTTTAAATGGTATGAGTTTGGCAACATTCCAGATATACTCTGTCCCAAGCACTTTTCCCCTTTAACTATCCCCTGTGTATTTTAAGGAAAATTCAAGCCACATGTTGCTGTTACCCTCTGCATCCAAATTTAGTTTTATTGAATTTTAGCATGGTCCATGAAATTCAAATTCTGAATTTGAAGCCATAATATATTCATATGATCTACACACAGTCACATGATATGCTCATATATCATTAAACTGAAAATAATGCATTTGAGAACTATATTTGTATTACTAGAATAACATTTCTTTAGACTGCAGAGTCATATGAAGAATGGTGTAGTAAGGATTTGATAAAATTATCAAAAATTCTAAAGAGCTAATTTAGTGAATCATAAAATAGCTTTTAGAGAATATTGCTCAGAAGACATTTTGATTGTGGTTAATTTGACCCAAGTTTAATTTGACACAAGAAGCAGGGTCTTTTGTGCATATAGGACATCCAAGCTTTGCCCCTAAGTCACAGAGACCTCATTACTGCAATATCGTTTTAAAATGTGTCCGCATGTGCCTTTCCATCCAAGCCACTGCCAGCCCTGTCAGCACCTTCACTGACAGCATGTTTTTGCTGTTACTGTGCATGGATGCTTGGAAAGCAGGGAGCTCGAGAGCTGCAGCCCAAGTCCAGCTGAACTGGACTCATTCCAGAGGGATTCACAAACTCAGAAACACGGAGATGAAAGGGGGAAGGAAGGAGGGAGGGAGAGAAAGGCAGAGGCATGCAATTCATACAAAGCAGAGTGAAATCTTTTTAGTTATAATTTTCTGTCAAATTCATTGTTTTGAATCTGTCTCCAGGTACTATTGATTAATTATTTCCACATATATAAGTATTTCTATCACACTACTTGTATGAGTGGTGTTAAAGAACCCTTGCCTTTAAAAACAGCATTTCTCTACTCTTAGAAATGTTTCTTAGCTGCAGAGGGTAGTGCTTTGTATTATTTTTAGCTAAAGAGATGAGAGTTTAGTCTGGCTAAGAATTCATCTAAGGTGAGGATTTTGTGACATCAGCCTTGTTGCAATTTATTTTACAAGAATTAACCTAAATTCCCATAGGGAGTTGTTTAAATAAATAATGCTATTTGTGTACTCTGGAGTATGCCACCATTACAAGGCATATTTATGAAATTTTATTCAGTAGAAAGAAAATGTTTATAAAATCCTGTTGAAGGAAAACTACAGACAGGATGACCTCAACTTCATAAATGTACATTGAAAAGATACAGTATAAGAGGGAATTATACTAAATATTAACAGTGGCAGCTTTATATTGATGAAGTCATGTCATCCCATTTTCTTGTTTTCCATATGGTCTAGATTGTTTGGGATTGTCTGCACATATCCAGTTTTGCTTTTATACTCAGGAAAAGGATTATGTTCAAATCTATCCAGCCAGTATCAGTGTCATTTCAACAAAATGTGGATTATGACTTTAAAATGTAGTTATCTTAACCTGGGGTGGGGGAGGGGGAAGAATGAAGAACTAGCTGATTGAAGTATCTCCCAAACCCAAGGAGCAGCACAGACAAAGGGAACTGAGCACACCCTGCCATCTTCTGCTGCACCCTTGACGAAACCCCCGTGGTACCAGGCCCTTCTGGTAGGAAGGGAAGGAGGCTGTTATTTTATGCTTTGGTACTTGGGGAATTTTTTGAGAATCACTGTCTTGTAAAGCTGGGTAGGGGACATGTTAAGAGGTTAAAATTATGAAGGAGGATCACTCAAGAATAAGTCTCACAATCTTTCATTACTTCTGCTAGCTTCCTTCCATCTGTTACACTTCATGAATTTTTGTGGTAGCTTCTACTTCTTTTTGGAACTAGGTAGATAGTGAACATGAAGTAAATATACTATA